TTGTGTCGAGCGCATGATGCTTGGATGATGGGTATGCTTCGGAATATTGTATAAAGATAGAGACTAGCTCTATGTATGTTGATTGAATATGACATATATAGATGTTTGTATGGTGTTGTATGATGATGAGCATATGCATGATATATTTGTACAAGGTTTTTGATCTCTATATGTATTAACTGAATGTGATGTATATAGATGATTTGTGCATGAGGTGTGAATGGTGATAAATGCAGCATGACATTTAGGCATGTTGGCTAACTTAGGACTTGAGGAGAGGAAATTATTTTTGAAAATTGGAAATCTTGGAGTGGTGCTCGAGTAAGCCACTATTGAAAACTCTTTAAGTAAGTGTGTTTCTTATAGTAGGTTTTGAGGTGTGTTGATGTCTCTTCTAAGTCCTTAGTGGTTAAGTAAGGTAGGAGGTTGAAGGTTATAACCCTTAACCAAGTACCTAAAAAGATTGTGTGGTTCCTTGAGAATAATCAGTAGGAGAATTTCATATGTGACTTGATAATCCATGGCAAGGTTGTGGTTAGCCAATACCCAATTGTATTATTTCTAACGGTGGAATCAAACTTCTAGTGTAAGTCACAAAATTGCCGAGAAACCAGTAGAGGAATTGTTATCCCATTCTGTTGTGATTAAGCTAATGCTTCAGATACAAAAATGATTGGGTTGGTTTGATAGAGTAGAATCACTTAAATTGCTTGTTATTAGGAGATCTTCGTAGTTGAATGTGTAACGACGCATTATTTGAGGTGTATGCATATGATGTATGTTGTAGTATGTTCATAAGAGCAACTTTAATGGGAGTTGCTTGTCCTATGAAGCAACTCAAATCCCGGTTTCTTGCCATTGGAGGACTCTGACGTGGCAACGTGAGTTGCTTGAAGAAGAGAGAGAGTTGATTCCTCAAGCAACCGTTCCTTACCAGATTTTAAGCAGATCTTATTGAACATATTTGGAAACGTTTCGGAAATAATAATGATGAAAATTAATTTCGTATAATATTTATGTATTTATTATTGCTTTATTTTATTTTTAATATCTACTTATTGTATATTTTTTCTCATAATTTATTTTTTTTTCATTGTAGCGTAATTATCCTTTTTAATAAAAATTTAAATTTGGTTCATAAATGATTAGAAAAAAATTCTAAAAGTTAAATTTCTTAAAATTTCTTACCATTAAAGTAAATTTGTGTTTGAGTTGTTTAATGCTGATATGGCACACTAGGGACCACTTTTTTCATTTTTCAATGTATGAAGCAACTCAAATAAGTTGTTTCCATTGAAAATGCCCTAAGCGTTGTTAGATGTCTTATGTGACATGATTTGAATGAGATATATGATAACATTAGAGTATTTAACTTTCATATATGTTTAGGATATGATGTTGTATGATATAAAATTATTTCCTATGTTTACATGTTTTCAAATTCTAACTTACTCTTGTTTCCATTGTGGTTTGGATTGTAAAGTAAAAAAAAATGAGAATATTTAATTAGGTGACAATGAATTTCAATCAAAGTCTAGAAAAATTCAAACACACGGAAGCACAAAAACGAGTTCAACAGATAACAAAAGAACTCTTGATTGCTAACAAAGGATTACATGCATTTATGTTTAATTAGAAGCCTTTAGGCTTTAAGTGAAGGACTGTGAAAGAATAAAAATTATTTAGTTTGATAGTATATAAATAATAATAAATAAAATTATGTATTGACATAGTAAAGTATTTTTATATTGTCTAATGATGAAATTAATGTAGTGTATACAGAGTTTTAAATTCAAACTTTGGTATTAATATTATTAATTTGATGAATAAAAAGAGTATTTTTATATTTCTATTTAATTAAAAATTATATTATAATAATAATAATACATTTTTTTACTTTAATAATAATTAATTAAAAAGTCAAATCATCAATAAATTTTTATTTTGTGAATTATACATAAGTTTTTCCACTAATAATGCGCATCACCGTTAAATCTTATACAATTTAGGTGCCTTATATTTTTATAAGTTTATTTATTTTATAAGCACATATATATGTGCCTATAATTTAGTACACAATTCTTGTTTAAAATCTATCAAAACGGAATAACGTGAAATAGACATATTGGAGTTCTAAAATTCAAACTTTATTTTGAATCTTAGACCAATCACACTTCAATTTAACTTAATACGATGTCATGAAATATTTTAAAACTTGACAACTAGCAATATGTATTTTTTTTTAATTTTAGATTAACCCTTAATTTTTGATTAGGGATGATTGCTGACTCCACGGTTTACTTCATCCAGGACTTCGGCTATTTTGTGGCCGATCGGGTGTCGGCTACCTGGTTCGGTGAGTTATGTTAACTTAACTCATCCTCCTTAACCTATTTGTAGCCTAAGTGCCATTTTTGAGACGACCCGTTCGGCCATGTCTGTCGGCCACACATGCCGAAAGGTGTAGTCGAGTAGTCTTATACCTATACAGTAATATATTGTGCATAAATTCTTTTTTTTAATCATATTATGTATATAAAGTATTTACGATAGATGACTAATTTCTAATAAAGAACCTAACTATCATCTTTAATAAAATTAATTTCATTCTCAACTACATTTTTTTATTCACACAACTCAAATGAGACATTATTTTTCAAAAAATGCTCAACTTGTCATACTAAGGACTAGTTAGAATAAATTCTTAATTATCATATTATTACCACATGTGTTTTATACACGATACAAATTTACTCTAACAAAAAATAATTATTGTTGAAAATAATTTTTTTTTAATATTTAATGTAATTATATATTTATTATATATTTAAAATTCATATCCAAGACTACTAATTAAATTAAAACTTAAGCTGATAACACTACAAAAAAATTGTCATATAGTGACACATACCCTATAGTGATACTATACATGTCACTAAAAATTATTTTTATCCACACAAAAACTATAATATATGTTGGTATATTATTAAAAACTGTGGGTATAGACTATAGTGAAACACAAAATATGTTGTTAAATCTTATTCAAAATCAACACTAAAATTGTGTGTAACTATATGTCAAATAGACATATATCTACAAATATTGTACCTACAGTGACACTTTTTGTATGTCACTCTATGTAACATTTCTTGTAGTGGAAAAAATATTCACATATTTTATGTTCAAATTTTTGAAAAAAATTAATACTCTTCTTAATTAAAAAAAAATTAAATCAACACTCGGAATCTTAAAAAATATGGGTCGACAGTTGACAAAAAAAGGATTAGTCTACGTCAACCCCGACCTGCCGACTTTCACCTATTGATATATCAACTTTAACAAATTATTATTTATACCTTTTTTCTTCTTTTTATCACTTTTGATTTTAATCAATTTTGGGAAACCTAGATACCTGTAGGTTTTTTCCCCCTTTTATGGGTATCTACAACGTCAAAAAGAAAAAAACTTTACCACATAATACTATAATTACGTTGTTCCCCCCAAAAAAATTCTCACAATGAATATCAAAATTGAAACATCAGGGAAATATGTAAATGCATTATTTTTTTTTTCCATGTGGATTGATACAAGTAATAAATGATTCGGATCAAACTTTCACCTTTTTCATAAGTGTAAGTTCAAGTTTCTGTAGTAATTCTCTCTAGATGAGTAATATATATCATTGGTGCTTTGCTTAGTGTATTGGGAGTCTTTTTGTTCTACAAATTTTTATAGAAAAAAATACATTATATTATGTTGGATATATTCGTTTTTTTTTAAGCAATAAAATCGAGATACTCTATATCTTTAATTTAAAAGTACTTAAGAATTATTAAAGTTTGTTGAATTAATTAGTGTTGTGTTTAATCTTTAAATTTCAAGATCTCAGATTTTTTTATATTCTTTTAAAGAATATTAAAAAATAGTTAATTTTTTATATTATTTTTTATTATTTAAAATTTAAAAATAAAATAATTCAAAAATTATATATACAAAAACAGAAAATCATTTTTACATTTAGGTATAAACTATTCATTAAAAAACATGATTCGGGTTTTGGCTAGGACTGAGCGATAAATCTCATTTTATTAAACAGGGTCAAGTATTTTTTTTTTTTGCCAGTTTTAATTTAATTAAAATTTGTTCACGTTTAGTTCTTACATCTATATATTAAAAGTTACGTATTTAATTAGTCTCTTCATTCTAAAAACTAAAATATATGGTTTTGTCAAAATATAAAAATAAAAATGATTTTTTTTTATAAAAAAGAAACTAATATCAGTAACATTCAAAATATAAAACATATTTAACACTACAAAATTTTAATAATTTGGATTTTTTTAGTGGCGTCATCGCCTTGTCTGGGAAACAAAGAAGCATATGGAAGGAGAAAAAAAAACTAATTAATATAAATTCCACATAATCAAAAATAAAGTGAAGAAAAAACAGGATATATAAGATGGCAGTATATTCAAATGAATTTATTTTTAAGTTCTCCATTTTCTAAAGCTACGTCGATATAAATAATTGATAAACTAAATTGAAAAGTTAACTAAATTACAAAAAAAAATTGAAAATCATTAATTTAACTTATTAAATTAGAAGACTTTAGTAAAATTAATTGTTAACTAAAGGAAAATTAATATAAAACGATACATTTATATAGCTTTTATTTTGCAAAAAAAAAATCAAATAATTATAAAATTTTAATTTCTATACATTTATAAGAGTTTTAATAGCTATACACTGTCACTTTTACACTGTGAATCAATAAAAAAAATTATAATTATAACTTTGATTATTTACCATAAAAAAAATTAAAAATAAATTTATCTTAATTATATTATAATTTGTGATTGAATGAGAGTTAACATATTCATATTAATTTTCTCTATTATGAATGACAACAAATTTAGTATATGCATAGCAGTGTGCGTACATAAACTGTGTTTACTGTGTGTAAAATCTATGGGGTGGATTACATTGCAAGTTAAGATTGGATATTCTTGTACAGTGTTTGACATTATTATAAAGGTTTTGTCATAGTCATTGTTTTTCACTTTTGTTGCCCCATTTTGCTTTCTTTCTCAGCGAAATGCTCTTTGCCTCCCTATGCCCCCGATCATGTCGTTTATCTGTTGTCTCACTGTGTTAATTTGCGGGTTTCTCTCATCTTGTCTTGCAACTAACTAGGGTTCCTCCTCAACCCTCACATCCAATAGTAAATTTTTCAACAATTCTCTCTCTCCGTTAGGTGGCACACTTTTTCACAAGCCAAATATTAAAGAATTAACAGATCTTGAAAGATCAAGCCTCCTACATTAAGGTAATGATCCAAATTAATTACATGTTGTTTGTTCAAAGAAACCTAGCTAGCTAGCTTCACCAGGTATACTTTTTTGTCCCATTTTTTTTTTTTCTTGTTCTTTCTTTGGAATTTTGTCTAATTAATAAATTATAGTGTTCTTGGCTTGGATATCAGGGTTTTTGGTTTTTGGAATTTTTTGAAGGTATGAAATTCTGGGTACCAACAACAGAAAGAGTTAAAATTTGAGAAAAATCTACATGTGTCCAATCCACCATTAATAACAAAAGATACCTGCATGGTTGGTGTTCCAATCTTGCCCTTCTAACCACTTCCAATATGGTGGAGAGAAAGAGATAGGTTAAAGAAAGAAATTAACATGCAGATATATATGGAACTTGAAATGAAGAAACTAAAGAAGCACAAATAATTAATAAAATTGTCATGCATATTCTATCCTATATCTTTTCTTTTCAATTTCCTCCCTCTTTCTGTACAAAACAGGAAAAAAGAAAACAAAAGAGTTCTGAGTACTGAGAATCTGTGAATAGTGGCACTCAGATTCGATGAAGACGACTTAGGCACAAAAAGTTCAAAAGAAAGTTCAAAAAGTATAGCAGCAGCAAAGTGCTTTAACAAGCAGGCAAAATCTCCACATAACCCTAATTAGTTTAATTAGATGTGTTTATACATTAAGTTCCAAATAGAACTAATTCAAGTGGACTATCTATTTATGTTCTTAATAATTTAAAATACAATTTGGTAAAACACACATACAAAATTTGGCGAAATTAACACACATAAATATGATCATTTAGAAGATTCAATATTGAATATTATGTATAGAGAGAGTTTAAATCTATTTAAATACTGGTTAGAAGTATTTTTTAAGAATTTATGTATTGTATATAAAAAATATTTTCCAATAAAAGAGTTCTGAAAAGCCTTTTTAGACTTGTATTTAGATAGATTCTTTGTAATTATAAATAGTTGTTTGGTAATTGATTAGTGTATAGTATGTTTTGATTTGTTAGGGGGAGTGAAGATCATGGCCTCTTCTAGCTACTCCAATTCTCCATGTGCTGCCTGCAAGTTTTTGAGAAGGAAGTGCATGCCAGATTGCATTTTTGCCCCATATTTCCCCCCAGAAGAGCCTCAAAAGTTCGCCAATGTACACAAGATCTTTGGTGCAAGCAATGTGAGCAAACTCCTCAATGAGGTGCAACCCTATCAGAGAGAGGATGCTGTGAACTCTCTTGCCTATGAAGCTGAAGCAAGGATCAAAGATCCAGTCTATGGCTGTGTTGGTGCCATTTCAGTGCTCCAAAGGCAAGTCCTAAGGCTACAGAAGGAACTTGATGCCACAAATGCTGATTTGATCCGCTATAGTTGCACTGAAATGCCAAGTACTCATCATGGAATGAGAAGGGTGAGTGATGATGGAGGTGGTGGTTCCTCACTTGGTCACTCTCATGGTTTCTCTAGACCTTCTACTACTAGTTGGAACAATGATCCTTATGGAAATAATGGCTACCCCAGAGGTGATATATAACAATTGTGGTTTTCAACTCTTCCTATGCATCAATCATGGTAGTCACGTATTAAATTAATTTCACTTTTAGGGTTCTCTTATGGTAAAGTATTGGAGGAAGGGGGTCTTATTTTGTGCATATAACCATATATATATATATATATATATATATATATGTGTGGTCATATGAATATAATATATGGTATTTTGTTTATTTTCATCATGGGTATCCTTTAACCTATTAGGCCACAAACTAATACTATAATTATTACTAATCTAAAGAATTTTTACATACAACAAATATTAAATACAAAATTAATAATTATTAATTAGATTGTTCTTATAATATGAGTGTAAAATGTTCCACTACTATCTCGATCCATCCTGTTATGATACTTGATATATTGGTGTAAAAAAAATACTTGATATATATGTTATTCTGAGACGAACTTAAACTAATTAATCTCCTAACAAATGTGACTTCTCTCTTATAGCATACCAAACCGATGAATGAAAATTTGTCATGATTTCTCGTTGGCAGGGTTATATTATATATGTTCTTTTAATAAATTTTTGAACACTAATTGCACTATTATTTTGTGAGAAAATTAAATTATAGCTGAAATGGCCCCACGCAATTACAAGCAATACATCGACTTGCTTATTTAAGGCTGGGGTGTTAGCCAAATGGAATCTTCCTGGCCTACTTTTTTTTTAATATTAATATTAATTTTGATCTTATTCCAATATGTATATATATGTGCCCACCTACCTTTTCAAGCATGCACTCCATCTTCCATGTACCTACTGATCTATATTCCTATTTATTCTTTAGGTGAAGATCTCAAAATGGCATTCACTATAGCTAGATATCTATCACTAGCTACGCAACATGTGTCTTACAATCCTTAATTATACATATTTAAGTTAACCATCTACATATATAGAAAGGCTACATAGAAAAAATAGATAAAAATGATTATAAAATTAACCTTGTTAGAACATCTTTATATTAATCATCATATATATTTGTTAAATGTTTTAAAAAAAAAAGTGAATGTTTATTGCATTAATAATATTATATACTTTTTTTATTTTAACCATTTCTATGCAAAATATTAAGAATTTTTTTTAAAAGATATAACATTACTCAAACAGAAATTAATTAAGTTTGCTCTCATGTTGTGTTTCCCTTTTCCAATCTTTCTTTCCCTTAATATATAAAACTTAATAGTGTGAACAAATATCGGTGATGGCGTGAGAATTAATATACAAGACACTGTTCACTCTGCACGTTGCCGACGTATCATTATTTCACTTCATTATGCATAAAATGGTGGTCAAAGAAGTGTAACAATTAATATTTTTTTTACATAATATTTCAAAACTCACAATTAATAAATAAATGTATTCATAAGAATCTATTCTTGGAATACCAAATCGATGTTCATATCTTAATTTTAAGTCTTTCAATTATTTAGATAAGTGACATGATTAGTGGAATTATTATTTGGTGTTTTGATGACTTTTTTTAATGCATGTCTTTTGATTAATTAATTTGGATTTTTGTAAAACAAAAGATAATATCAATATTATTAATATGAGTTAATCACATATATTGTCAGTGTAAAGTTTTTTATATTGACAATCAATTATACTTTTAATTATGTCATGTCACTGTTAAAAATAAATATATTTATAATGACATAATACAATTAAAAAATATAATTGATTATCAGTGTAAAAATTTTTTACATTTACAATGTACAGATGATTAATTCTATTAATATTTTCATGTGTGTTTCAACATTATGATTACGAGGATGGAGTGATTGAGTGAATATGAGTGGCACAGAAGCCAAGGGATATAGGATAGATCTTGGAAGGGGATTGTTGGGTTTCTGTTCACGCATGTGATCGCAAATGGGTCATTCAAGTTTCAACCCATTACGACATCACTAACGTGCATGTTCCTCATATATCGGGAGAAATTTTTGTAACGTTTCTTGAGATAATTGCTTTCTCCATATTAATATTAATGACATTCATTTCAATTTATCCTTAGTATAAAATATATATATATATATATATATATATAATTATTATTTTTATTTTTGGTTGCCTACCAATCGGAACCAAAATTATTCTCTTGTACAACAAAAAAAATTATTTGGGTAGATAAAATGGTAAATATTAAATGACATGTAGGGTGCTTATCATGTTGGAAAACCTTAACTTATTATTATTATTATTCATTTAGTAGTTAGTCAAAAATTAATTAGTGTTCAATTTAACTTAAGATTTTACTTGTCAAAATGAGGATAATAAAGATTTAGAAGAAGAATTTCACTTCAAATTAAATAAGTATATGTTTATTAAAGTAGAATTTTAACATATAAGATTTATAAATTAAACTCATAATATGACTAATAAAAAATTGTTATAATTATAAATTTTAAAATAATTACAATAAAAATTAACATATTTACTATACATGATAATTTTTGTAATTGTGTGATAAAATTGCAAAACTTTCTTATATTGCGTAAACTATTTTGGAAGAAAATATTCAACTTGATTTCTAATTTTAAAAAAAATGTTTAATATTATTTTTTTTTGTATAAATCAACCTAAATATATAAAATACACATCTTTATCTTACGTGAGAATATTTTAAAAAAAGTTTCTTCGTTAAGAGAGATTGTTTTAGTTTCATATTTAATTTAATTTATATTTATCATAATTATTTATGAATTAAATGTTATTATTTTTGAAATAAATTATTAAATTAGTACTAAAGTTTAAATTACTTAGCACAAATTTAAATATATATTTGAAATATGAATTTATTCAAATTTTAAATATAATTTATGTATTTAAATATAATATTTATTTATACATAATTTATTTTAAATTTTAGTTATATATATAGTAAATATTTAACATGTACATTGTACAGGATAAAATATTAATTTTTACTAATAATTTTAATGAAATTGAACAAAAAAAATCTTAATTTTTATTTTAAAAATAGATTGCCAAATTCAATGCATAATATTTAAATAAATTTTTTATCTTAAAATTATATATTTTAGATTAAACTATAATAATCAAAATGAAAATCGATATTTCTTGAAAAAATTATTGGTATTGTTTACGTGTTGGATTAATTTGACCAACTTTTACTAGTTTTGATGGCAGCCAAGTTCTTTATATGACACTTGATCACTAGTTCTCGCTCTGATTGCACCCAATGCTACAATTCCATTTTGGGACAACGATTAAAATTCAAAAACATTTATAAAATCAAACTTAATTATCTTCACAAGATAACGACAAACAATAAATTGAGTATGGAATAAAAAGAATATTAAAATTAAAATGTTCCCAAAAAGAAAAGGAAGGGGTTATTTATAAAAATAAGATATTAAGTACATAAAAATAAATTCAAATTTATTTAAGTATAAGAAAATAACAAATTTGTCAGATAAAATATTATTTAATGTAATTTTTTTATTTTAATATTTAATTTGGTTATTTAATTATTTAAAAATGTTTTTTATTGACGCCCCACCTGTTGATTATTAACAGTTTTAATAAAATTTAATATAATAAAATATTAAATATTAAAAATTAAAAAAAAATTAAAATTATAAATAATAAAAAATAATGATATAAATAAAAAGAAAGAAAAAATAATTTAACCTTTATTTTAAAATTTCGAGAGCAACTAATAAAAAAGTTGGGTTAGAATATTTTCAAATTCAATCAATTCACTCGATTTGGGTTGCTTTAAAAATTATTTTTTTTAGTAAAATTAACTCAAACACACCTTTTTTTTATGTAATTTACACACATGTTTGATTTCATTATCTTATTTAAAATTAATACTAATGTTATATAAAAAAATTGTTAATTCAAGTTCTTAATTAAATATTGGAATTTGATGCACACTTTAGACATAAAGTCACAAGTTAAAACTAAAATTATATAAAGAATATATCTAATGAGATAATAGATTGTTATGAGAGGTGAGATATCTAAATCATATGCTTTAAATTTTATATAAAAATAATTATCGATCAAAATTAAAATCCAATAATAAATATTACCTTACAGTATTAATATAATATTATCCTTCCACAATTATATCAACATCACCGTTGCCTACTACTAATCTACTATTGATGTTGCGGTGGTATGTATATGCTTATAATCTAATATATTAGGTTAAAACTATTATTTGGTCTTTTATAATATTTTTTGTTTTAATTTAGTTTTATTTTAATTTTTTATTTTAATTTGGTCTTTAATAATTTAAATTATTGTAATTTGAGATTTCTATCCAAATGATTTAAACAGAGTTAACTGTTGGTTACGTGGATGCCAGGTGGATGCCACGTAAATACATACATGGATGTCAAATTTCATGAATACACCTTGAACTAGAACGGCCCGTTCTGAAACCAGAACGACCCGTTCTGCTTGCACATATTATGTGTTAATTTTGCAAGTGGCACGGGACGTTGCAAATGCAAATTTAACACACCATGAGTGCATCAGAACGGACCGTTCTGAAATCAGAACGGGCCGTTCTGAAATCAGAACGGGCCGTTCTGATGTTAGAACAGGCCGTTCTGGATTCAGAACGGCCTATTCCAGAATGCCAATTTCATGCATGCGTTGACCAAAATGCCGCAATATGGTTCAAATATTGAAAATAAAAATTCATAGCATATCATAAATTCAAAGACAGAAACATGATTTAGAAACTGAAATAAAAAATTCAAAACATAACATATACTAAAAAAGTTCAAAGAAATTACTGAGAAAGAAAATCATCTGGGTAACGCTAAAGGGAAACCCTAAACCACAAAAATTCAGGTTGTACCTCCTCAAGAACAGGTTGTTATTGTTGGGGTACATCGTCAATGACTTCAAGGGGAAACATCATTTTGTTTCATCCTTGACTTATAGTGTCAATTTGGTAGTAAGTGGTTCACTTCAGTTTGACTAATAATGAAATAAAACCTACTACCATTGTCCTTAGTGATACACTGCATCATCCTTAATAATACACTGTATAGCCCAAATTTTTAGTAATTGAAGTTATCAATCCTCATTGACAATATTACCAAATCTAGTGTTTGAAATGCTTTGTAACTTGGGTCTTTTTCTTACACGATTCACAACCGTGAACTATAGTCATTGACCATTCTAGAACCAGAACGACCCGTTCTGGTTGCACTATTGGTGTGTAAATTTTG